GAGAGAATCAACTGGCAGGTGGGCCTTAGACACCCCAGCTATCAGGGACTCCAATTCTTCCTTTGTTCGTAGAAGGAAATGGCGGGGAGAGGGGGGATTCTAGCTACCATTTCTGGAAATGGTTTATCGTGGGCCCAGAGGGACCAATCCTGGGCACCTTCATGAAAGTGCTGGGAGAGCACAGCCAGGGATGTGTGTGGGCGGCCTTCAATATCTAGAGACAGGCAACCCAGTTTCTGCTCCTCCTCAGATTTCAAGGAAGCTGCTAGTAATCTGAACCATTGGCTGAACAGGAAAAAAGAAAACAGAGGAAATTTCCTGAGAAGGAGATTTCTCAGCCTTTGCAAAGCTGGATTCTTTGGCTTCCAAATCCAGGCACAAATCAGAGGATTAGAAATTATTTTGCAAGAAAAAGTGCCTTGATTATGTGCTCTTTCAGAATAATTTGTACTCAGAGATTCTATCCACATAAATTCATTCGATCTTAATAGTCTCCGTTATCTTTTAATCTGATGTCCGTATTTTTCTTTTCACTGGTTGTAAACAAGGCTTTTAAAAAATGGTAATTTGCCAGAGTGAGTATTTAGTTATTTCTGAGCCGCTTTGCACAATTCCAAGTCAAAGAATGATAAAAAGAATGAGTCTCTTCAAGGATTTTGTAAAAAATTAGTTATTGAAAACTAGGCAGAGTAACTAGCACAAGGAGAGTTAGGTACTGGTCTTAAAAGAAGAGATTTCCCAATAAGACTCTCAGATGAATCTGCCATATTGCTCAGGAACACGAAAATATCCGAGCCCAAACAAGAGGGAAAAACGGAAGGAGAGAGTGCTGAGTACACCCCCTTGACTTCCTGAAGGAAAGGGAGAATACAAATCCAATAAATAAATTTCCTCCTCTTACTTGTTGAGTCGTAGGTTCAACCATGGTTTCAGCTCCACCATAAGGAGGAGTCAGCTTTCTTCCATGCTTCCCTGTGAGGGAGACAGAATTTCAAAATGCACAATTAATAAAATAGGAGGAGGAATTCTACAGAACAGAAGACAGTGAGAAGATGAGACAGCTGGGATCCCTCTGGGGAATGGGAGGACCTTGTATTACCTCCTGAGGTGTCCTGATTTGGATCTTCCAAGGAGATCCTCCTGAAAAACAGCTCCTGAGAGGGAATTGATGGATTCCTCCTTCCCTCAGGATCTCCAATAATCACAGCAAGGGACTTGAAATGGTAGGCAAGGGAGTCACAGCAATGGTAGGCAAGGGAGTCACATTTAAATAATCACAGCAAGGGACTTGAAATGGTAAAGAAGAAGAAATAACAGACATCACACAACATGAAGTGGATTCTTGTTCTCTAAAAACACAACTTGAAAGCCCCCAATGTCCATCAGTGTGGCTGCAAAGTAAGAAAAGAAAGCCTGTCCCAAATGTATCTTCTAGAATGGATAATGGAACAATGGCCTACAAGAATGATTGAAATATTTCCACCTATTATGAATGCCAGGGAACTCTGGTAGGGAA